AGTTTTGGCCGGTAGTTGTACAAAACAAGCAACTTTTAGATGTTAGCGTTGTGCTCTGGGAACTTGCAAGGAGCATTTTACAGTAATTTCTGGACATTTTAGAGACAGAAATAATCACCAAGTCTTTGTCTTATGGGATAACCAGTTGAAAATACTTTGGGTTTGGTTATTAGCCGGACACAACAAGCAACCAAATTATTACACAAATGATCAATAATGAAAGTAAAAATTTGTATTTATTGCAAGGTTCGTTAGTTTAGTTGCATGAAATTGCAGGTGTTTGAGATATTGTGTTCACCTTCTGTGTGTTGACCTGTAATCAACACGTCTCCTCCGCCATCGATCGTCACAAAATGCTGGGACAGACTAAACAGAAGCACTATTGCCCATGAATTATTTAAAGTCTAATCAGGACTTTTAAACATCACACACAATAAATGAAGATGGAGTTTTTTTTTTTTTTAGTTTATTGGGTAAGAGAATGAAATAGCAACCATTGCATATATACAGGTACAGCAAATTAAGCTAAATGAATGCTAAATGATCCTGGTTTGTTAAAGCACGTTCCTATTTTGTCGGGTGGAAGACCTACACCTGATTTCCATACAGTAATTTAGAAACACTGACCTGCAGGGAGGACTGGGAGTAATGACTCCACCATGATGCCGCCGCCTGAAGGCTGATTGGAGATCAGTTCGGTATCAGTTGGCTGTCTCCATCACAGCACGGCCATCCAAGCGGAACAAACATAGTCAATTTGGTCTGTTATCGCTCAAACACACCTGGCCTGGCAGCATCACAGCCCCTTGTGTGTGTGTGTGTGTGTGTGTGTGTGTGTGTGTGTGTGTGTGTGTGAGTGACAGATATTTTGCTATCAAATTTGGTTAAAATACTTCTACAGGATTAAAGAGGGGAAAATGCTGGATTGGAAACGTGTAAAGATAATTTCTTAGGCTTCTTTTGAAATGTCTCTGTGATGGTTAAAGTTAATGCACACTGGAATGACGGATAGGAAGTATTGGATGAAAGCATTTGTGTGCACAAGTATTCAGTATGTGTGTTTTGCTTTGCGGAGACACTCGGGCCCTTGTCAGCGCATTGTGGTTTGCAGAAGGCTGGAGATGCATTAGCAGAAGCAAAGTGAAAGGGTTGCAGGGACTCCTCGGTTTGTGTCTTATTTGCTCGTCGAGCTCAAAGCTGAACGCTGTTTCGTTGGCATTAGCGTTCGGCTCAGTTATGTTCATGCAGGAACCCGCTTTTCACAGGCTGCTGGTCTGGGCTGCAAGGCATGAGAGAGGAGGAGACGGAGAATACAAGGGACGGGGAAAAGTAAGCAAGATATCTAGAGGGAGGAGGGCAGAAATAATGAGAGGCATAAAGAGGAGATTGTGAGAAGTTAAGAGGGTTAGATAATGAGAGGCAGAATCAGGGGATAAGAGAGTGAGGCAGAGAGAGAGGGAGAGAGGGAGGGAGGGAGAATGCAGATCTAGGTCAGAGAGGCAAAGCAGTTAACAAACGAATGGAGGAAGGGATGAACAGGCCTGTGAGGCTCAAAATCTCCTCAGTCTGAATAGGACAGATCAGTGAGAGTGGGACATCCTTAGAAGAAAGGACAGAAGGAAGATAAAAAAATATTCTAATACTGTGTGAATATTCTGTCTCTTTTTTTCACAGAGCTTCATCAAATATTTACTTGTCGAGAATTTGAGGAGAAGATTGATATCACTCTCATGTCTGTGCATTAAGTGTAGAGCTGGGAGGCAATTAGCTTAGCTTAGCTTAGCATAGCATAAAAACTAAAAGCAGGGGGGGAATAGCTAGCTAGCTAGGTCGGGTCTGTCCAAAGTTACGAAAAAATATGGCTTCCAAAACCTCCACTAATGAAAATGCTGTCCATTATTTTATTTACATCGGTACACAAACAGTAAAGTAAACACAATAAGTTGTGGTTTTACCTGGCATTACATGCTGTTATGTCTCTTCTTGTAGTCACCATGAGATTCTTAAACAACCACAGAACGCACAGAGGAGTCGGTTGGATGGATAAACTGTTACGTTTGTTTATTGTTGAGCTTCTGTGCTAGTAGGCATATTTTCAACATTAAAAGCCAGGCTAGCTGTTCCCCCATGCTTCGTCTTTACGCTAAACTCAGATAATCTAATCTAGCTAACCTCCTCCTGGCCCATCTCCAAACACACCGACATGAGAGTGGTATTGTTCTTCTCATTAAACTCTTAGCAAGAAAGCAAATTAGTGTATTATTGGATGGATAACTTAGTCTAAAATGTTGGACAACAGTGTAATGTCCCCCTCAAAAGTTCACAGAGCTTAATTCAACTTTTTCAAATTGCTTGTTTTGTGCGACCAACTGTCCAAACCCAAAAATATTCAATTTGCAATGATACACATGATGTATCATGATGAAACAGAGAAAAAAAACCAAAATCCTTACATTAGAGAAGCTGGAATCAGCAAGTATTTGGCATTTTAGCTTGATAAATGACTGTTGATGAGACTGATTAGCTTCAGCACTAATCGTTTTATCATTTGTCTTCCTCACTTGTTTTTCGTATCATTACCATTTATCTTCAAAGTCTGGTTTTGGTAGCATTGTTACACACATTATCCTGTTAACTGCTTACATTCATATAACCAAAGACCCCCCCCCAACCCTTCTTTGAATTTGCAAATATACAAACAGGGCGAGGGACAAAGAAAGAACAAAAGGTGAAGATGAACAGACAGAGCTAATTCCTTTCTGTTGCTTCTTTCACACTCGGCCATTTAATAAGGCTGGATGACATTACTCACTGCTCTAGGTCATGTGTCTGAGAATAATAAATCTTTATCCAACTCTGATGATGTCCACCTCCACTATCTGTTGGACATATTTGTCACTTTCTAACTCCTTCAGTCGTTACTTCTCCATTCCTCTTCATGTCTCTGTGTGCACATGTGGGTGTTTGCACGAGTGTCTGTGCAAGTAGCATAGAAAAAGAGATATTTTTGAATTTTGTGTGCATCTGTCTGTAAGCGCGTGTGTGAGTTTCTGATTTGTAAGTGGCTGTAATTCCTTTGTTGGTCTCCAACAAAGCCAGCCCTTGTGCTTGTGGAATTGGGGCAGTCTGATCCTAATGAGAAATCCCTCTTCAATCTTTCCAGCTCTTTTACTCTCCCAGAAGCTGGCGTGTGTGTGTGTGTGTGTGTGTGTGTGTGTGTGTGTGTGTGTGTGTGTG